GTCGGAAATTCTTTCAGCTGTTCAAATCCTTTTTCAAATTTGTTCTAGCTATTATGGGCACAATTCTATCGTAATAAACAAAAAAAGTGGTCCATATATGGACCACCGCCCGTCAAAGGGTTAATTAGCAATTAATTACACCGTTTTCGACGTCCGGAGCAGCACCACCTAAATAGGTATTGACGTTACCTAATTTACAAGTAAAAATTCCATATGATTACCGAATACTGATAAAGATAGATTTGTATTAACCTACTCTTCCAATTCATGAACACAATTGTTGTATGATCCTGTTAAAAAAGAAATGATGTGTGGGTTAGAACTAAAGTTTACCGTCAGAATTTTTACCATAAAATTTGATTGCCCCAAAACGCGTTGGTTGTTCATTGTATATTTAGCAACTGTTTTATCAGGATTTATTGATAAACAATCTTCTCGTCTGACAATTAAATGTTTTTTAATAGTATCAAACCATATTAAATACGTTTCATCGCTAGTTGTTGTGATTTTCACCGTAAATGACAGTCTTGTTTTTTCTGTCTGTTCAGGTGGTGTGTATTTGTCAGGTGGATGTATTGTTCGGTCACGTAATGGCAGACGCGACATTTCGAATTAGTTTCTATTTTGCACAAAATCTATAGTAAAAGTATTATTTGAGCATAAGCATCACTTATCTACTGTACTGAGATTACATCATCCACCACAGTTCTGGGAAACATTGCCCAACAGAAAACCTGTAGTAGAAGATTAATAGATGTTGATGGCAGTTAGGTAGCAGCCGCAACGTTCAAAACCAAAATAATTAAGAAATTCTATTTTGCTCCGTTTAAATCATTGGAAATTAGAACAGCTGTGAAATACTTCAGAACTTTTAGGGGATAAAGGCAAACCCTTTTTTATAGACTACAGAGCTTGTGAATGAATCTGAATTTCCATTTTTAGAGAAAACACCGATGCTTTAACGTTGATTTGTTCACCTGCAAAATCGTTTCTTTCTTTCCTCGATCATATTTATATTTTGCAACCCAAAAGGTAATTTTGAAGACACATCATCTTTGTAGTAAGTAATTATATAGCTCAGAAACGGGCATGCTCCGTCAGTAAGCCTCTTTCACGGTGATGAATAAATTTCTACCTCTAATGACCCAAAATAAAAGTACTGGCGTCCATTGGGGAAGCATTGCCGTTTCTCTTCCAATAAGAATTTCGTTAACATAATATCAAAAAAATAATAAAGACGTGATTGAACTATTTTATTTCTTGACAGCTGTATATAAGACTCATCGTGTTTTTGTCTTTTTATCTGTTTCTACTTGTTTTGAGCATGCAGCATTGAACAAAGCTAATCTGAAAAAATTTCCAACAGAAGTTATTATTGTAATATTTACTCAAACATATTTTACACTTACAAACTTTGTTGAAATAGTAACGCTTCTTTCGTATGAAGAAAGCGGCTTTCATTTCGTTTAGAATGTGAAGATAGTTTAGATCGACGACCATGTTTCTTTCCACTCCGTGAACAGCTTCAAGACCTTTTTCACCTAAATTAATAGATAGAAGTTAAATCATTAGATTGGACAATGTTGTTACTAAATTTATGCTCCACCGCCCACCGTGGGCAACATCAAATGTAACTTGATCATCTTTTTGTAGACAATCTCAATTTTTTTTCGAAAATTGGAATGATGAATGAATAGCTGTCGATTTGAATACTGTTTCTGATTATTTTCATTATCATTACGTCTGTGATGAAAACAACAAATAGGAAATATGGAGTTACTGATTGAGTTTTTATCAATTCATCTACCATTTTATATATTTTAATAGATATATTTTATTTATAATCTAAATTTTCCCAGTCTGAAGAGGTACTACCGTACCGTGTCGATTCACTGCTAAAACACATAAAAAAACACAGAACTTCCAAGTTTTAAGTGCCTGAAAGCTAAGGTATAATTATATGCAACTTATCAAGTGTTTGCTTAGGAATTTGATTGTTTTCTTTCGTTGTTTCAGGTATTTTAGCGCCGGATAAATAATCTACAAAAGAAATATGGATTAATTCATGTAACGAATTATAAGTATATAGAAGTAAACAAATAAAAATTGCTGCTAGAGAAAAGTGGACATTTAAGCGCATAATCTATCGAGAATCTGACTAAAACCCGTCCTAGGATTATGATCGAAAAGCTTTCATAGTCTTGAGAAGATGTTCAATAGAAGCTGTGATTTTTAATCAATAAAAAATAGCTATTAGACGCAAAAAACTGATATTTATTGTAAGATTTCAAAAGGGTCAAAAGCTGAGGGAGAAATGGTTGAGGTTACTCACCCAGCAAAGCTCTACGATATTCTGAATAAATAAACTCTATATATATTCATTTTATTGTTCCTTTCCAAAAAGGTTAACAAATTAATTACACATTTTCATTTTCAATGTAATTCTAAATGTAAATAAATGGTTGTGGAGAAAAAAAAGAAAAGAAAGTTGAACGTGAAATGTAAGATAATTGAGAAAATAAGATATTATGACTTCAATTTCACAGTACATAAATATTCATCTGAAACACTTTAAAAATCCAGAACAACAAAAGGTTAAAGTACAAACGAAACATTATATTAAATACATCTTTAGTTTGCCACTCATGCCTCACAGATTCCACTCTACAATTTCACTTTCTCATTCTCTTCAAAATACATATTGTGGGTTAAGGAAAATTTTTTAATGTAATTCCAAAAGATGA